TGCTGTGGTTGTGGTGGGAGAGGAAGGAACACATGCTCTGGAGTTAAATTTCCTTGGACTAGGGGAAGGCCAGCCTGTGTCGCAGTGTTGCCATGTTTGTGGTTCGTTCTTCTTGGAAGGTGAGGTGAGGGAAGAAGGGAAAGGAGTTGCTCTGTGTGGCTAAACTAGTGTGATCAGACTTCCCTCTGCAATACCGATGCCAGAAACCTGGCCACACATTATTTGTGCCATTTCTCTTTCCTTGTTCCAGAAGATAAATGCAATGTGGACCTAAGGTGAGAACTTTAACTATAAGGGCTATAAGGGCTGCTTATAGAAACTCTTTTCAGTTTACTGGACAGCCTTCCTGTATGACTTGTGCGGTCGCTGAGGGGAGGAGAGTCCCTTCTCCAGAAAGTAACCGAGCCCGCGTGAGGCTTTTCCTCTAACGAGCTTTTGGACGCAGCTTTTCTTTTTCCATTTGCAGTAGTTGAAGCAGATGGGTGACCAGGTTCCTGTACTGTATGTTACCCCCATGACTACTCCACTGCCTCTCATCACTCATCTCACTGGAGTTTCTCTGAAGCTGTTCGATCCCCTCAGTGGCTGATGTGAAACTGCACATTAACCGTGTTACCAGCTCTTTTAGCAGCCTAGTGTGGTTAATAAAGACCTGCTCATGCACTTGAAGTAGCTTGTAAGCCTGAACAGAAGTCATCCCTCTCATGGTGCTGGTGCACATGGTGCTGTACACAAAGCAGAATGGAAGAACTTTTTCTTACATCATCTCTCTCCTGGTTTCCACTCACCTTTTGAGCCCAAGGCTGCCTGTAGTAGCGTAGAAGTCCTGACAACATAGTGCTTTGCCTGTACTTGGCCTCTCTGTTTAGGCACAAGTGCAGAAAATGTCCCAAGAGGGCAAGCCATCCCTTAGGGTGATTGCAGAAGAGATCCATTTAGGATCAACTCAACTACTCTTCCTTTACAGCACAACCACTGATCTTATAGATTATGTCCTGTGTCTTTTTAGGATAGTGTGTGCCTGGCTTTATGCTGATTCAGCATTTAAAAGGCAGGTGGTGGTGAAGGGATGGTCATGGTTTCAAACAAGTCCGGACCAAGAGAGGTCTTACAGGTCCGTTCCTGGCCTTGGAGCCTGTTTGCAGTGTAAGCTGCTCCTTGCTCTTTGTGAAATGAAGGGAAGGAAGCTGCTGTTCATATTTGTCTGCTCTAGGAATATTGAGTTTGTTCTGAAACGCTAAAATGAAATATTTGCTACTTTAACGTTAGATTTCATGAGCTTTATTTTCTTTTTTCCTGAAGGAAATTGAGGGGCAGTACATGTGCAGAAGCTACAGCAATACCACCTGCTTGCTATTTTCAAAGTATTTTACACACTTCATAACTATTTCTGAAATATTAGTTAATAGAGACTTCTGTAGTTAAATGGATTGCCTCTTTTACATGTACTGGAATTGTTAATGTGCTGCTTCTGCACTAGTGAAGCTTGGGATTCTTGAACGGTAATCCTGTTGGTCCTTTCCACACTATCCGTAGCCCAGGGCAATTGGTTTAACTTTAGTGTTTTAATTTCCTCTTTTGCAAAAAGAACACTAGAAGCATTATTCCCATTAACTTTTTATTACCATAATTAGTCTCCTCCATGGTTTGTTCCTAACAGCAAAGCACTCTGCTGTTATCTGTCATTCTTTTATGCTAAAAACTGCACATGGCAAACTTTTACTCGTCCTGGATGTTCTTGATGTTTAACACTAGTATTTTTCATGCATCTTGGACTTTGCTACTTTTAGTAACTACCGCAAAATAGTATCTTAAAAACAATCTTCAAGTGTCATGCTGTCTGGCCCTCACATTCTGTGTGTAATTCTGATTTCAATTTGTGAAGGTGAAGCATGGTAAGAGCAACATATGTTGATATTAATAATACGAAGTTCTCTGTTAACTCGGTTAAGTTTGGAAAAGTTTTAGAAAAAAGACAAGAGAATTTATAATCCTGAAAACTTGAATTTTCTAAAACATCACTGGCTCAAAATGTAAACTATTTTAAAATATTGTTATTACAGGCAAAATGCCAGCCCCTGAGCAGACCCCAATGGTGGAGGAGGGGCTGCCGCAGACAACACAGGAAGCTTCCACAGGCCCGGGCATGGAATCAGAGACTACTGCCACTACCATTTTAGCTTCTGTAAAGGAACAGGTATATGCCTTTCTTTCAGCAGTTCCGAAATTCAGTATGTGTTCTGGAGTTAACCCTTGCCTTTTATTGCATTGCTGGAAAAAAAAATTCATTGTTTCTAAAAGGTGTTGCCTAGTGTTGGTATAGTATATTTTGTGTGTCAGAATGTTAGAATCTGAATATGAAGGGTTCATTTAATTGCATTGAACAGAAGTATCATTGTGGTATTCTGTATCCCTTGGAAAGTATGCACTGTTGTCGTAATCAGACTTGAAATGCAGGTTTATTGGTTAAAAAAGAAAAGCTAATGCAGAATTGATGCAACTTTGCAGAATGTACAAAAAGGACTGGTTGTCAAAGTTGTGTACAGTATTACAGAAATTTGCACATAAGGGTTTTGGTATGATTAATTTTATTTTGTTAAAGAATGGATTTTAAACGGAGTTTGTTTTCACTTATCAATACCAAGGTAGTATATTTTAAATCTGTAACACATTTACAGACATGTATCTTGGTGGTAGTCTATAGGGAAAATAAAATTGTGCTTGAAATCAAGTTCAGCCTTAATTTGGAAGTATCATTCAAGAGGAAAAAAAATTTACAGTTTTACAAAGAAACATTCTAACTGAAGTTTGTTTTGTTTTGTTTAAAAAAAACCACAGAAGTAATAGTTTGGTTTTCATTGTCAGAACTAGAAATAATGATCATCTTTGCTTAATACATAAATTGTAACATCTGAATTTCAGAATAAATCTGCTTTGCTGTCTTTGTTTCAGAACGCCTTTTAAAATAAATCTGTACTCATTTCAAGATACGAACTCAAACTGCAAACACTTGATGTATTAGTACTCATATGTTGTCCAATATTAATATTATTTTTTAAAAGGTGAGAATTAGATTATATGGTCTTGATATCAGCATATTTTGTACCACAGAACCTTCAGTCATAAATGAAAATTTTCTGCAGGATGATAAAATTTGGAAATTGTTTTCATGCCTAAATTAATAGTTTCAAAAGTTTTTTTTAAGATGGTGATAGCAACCCTAATAATTTCTCAGGGATATTGAAATTAGTATTAAATCTTTCAATGCGAAGGTTACTAGTGCTGGTGGCTATCGAGATTTGAGTAATTGTAGTCATCTGAGTTATAGTGATCTTGAGTCACCTCTCATCATGAGACAGTGGTTTGCCCTGTGCCATCTTAGCTTATCACACATGTCAATTAGAACTCATTTGCTTAAAGTACATTTGTGGTGATTTTAAGTTGGTTCATTTTATGTTGCAGTTCACAAAGAACATGCTCGTAACGGTGGCTTGGCTGATGAGCAGCATTGCAATAAATGACAGTGCTGTAATTGCCAGGGATCACCAGCCAATGTTACTGCTCAATGATGACTGTCCAGAACTGCTTTTGTGCAATTTTGATGCGATAATGATTGTTTAAACTGAACATAGAATTATGACAGCATTGTCTATATTGTGTTCACACATGATAAATATACAGTAAAAAGGCTTTAGTTAACATCCCCTTTCCTAACCAAGAAATGTTTTTATCTTTTTTTTCAGTTGTTCTTTAAAAAAAAAAAAAAAAAGATAATGAGATATTTCCTCATTTGAAAAAGGAGGTTAAAACCTTTTCCCCTTTCCATTCATAAAAACACTATTAAATATGTGGACTATTAAGTAACTCAATTCTGATGAAAGGAAAAAATTAAATTAAAATTGTGTTTAATAGTTAGTGAAACGCAAACTTCAGAATTGTAGCGTAACTTTAAAATGTATAGACACATTAGAATGAATACAAGGGGGAGGAAGATGTAAATTGTACTTAACTCTTGAAAATGATAATGTGAAAGAATCAAGAGCTGAATTGTTGCGTTCTGGTATTTCTTCTGTTGATAATAATTATGGACACTGACATATCCAACACCCTTCCTGTATGGCTGAAAGCCCAGAACAGAATATTTTCCAGTGCAGTTATTTACTTTATGAAGCTTGAACAGTAACTCCTATGCTGTTTGCTGTGGCCTAACTTTCTTTTATACAGGAATCTCTCTTTATTTGCAGTAGGTTTGCTGTATTTGTAAAAGTCACCACACCTTAACTTCATTACTTCAGAAACACTTACTACAGTGGAAAGACAATTCAGAAAAGCCTTTATTAATACTTGTCAAATTGTGCAAGATTTTAACTTAATAAAAACTTTTAAAATTACTGCAGTAGTTTGGAAATAGGTAGATACATTTATTGAATGACTTTGTTAAGCTTTCTACCACAGTGGCATAGATACGATTATATAAAAGTTGCACTAATTAGTCTATGAACTCTACAAGCCACTTTAAATAAACTCTCCATTTGTTTGGTTTTCCTATGACCCCAAATCAGTTTAAAGCAACTTTTTTACCAAACTAGAGTGTGTCCCGTGAACTCTGAACAGTCTCTCATTGAGACAAAGTTGTTAGCCAGCTGTGCAAATTTCCCATGATTATGTTTTAGGAAAGAAACAGTTCAATTCACTTTTAGTGTTATAAAATAGTATGTGCAGAACTAGTGTAATCTGTGAAGAAATTCAGATTGCTGCAGCTTTGTAGTACCACGAATTTTGTTTTAATGTGAATAACACATCCCTACTGCCAAAACAACCACGGGCTTTGATTGCAGTGGGGGGGATAGTTCTTTTACCAGGTTAAGTTATTCTGTTTGCGGATACACTGGTGGATATGCTTTTGGATGAAAATCAAGGGAAGGACTGACTCTTAATAGCTAAAGTTGCATCTCTACTAGAGGAATTCCTGTTTGAATGCAGGGAAATCCTAAAGGTAACTGTAATGAAGCTGGCACATATTTTGGCCTTTTCTTTTTTTTTTCTTTGAGTAGATTTGATGATGGGTTGTGGGATGTTTTTTTGTTTGGAGAGGGGGTGGTTTTCTGTGGGTTTGTTTTGGAGTTGTTGGGTGGTGGGTTTTTTTCCAAAACATGTATTTAACTTCTGAAATGTTACAAAGTTTCCATGCTATAATGAATAGAAGCGTCTTAGGAAATGCTGAAACAAGTTTTAAGTAAAACTAAAGCATTAAAACATCCATGTCTATATTTCTGAATCCTGGAGAGTATTTGTATAAAAGTTTAGTTGAGTTCTGTAGGGAGTCTGTTATGCATATTAAAAGTAAATTGAGTATTTTCATACTAAAATAACAATTTGTTAAAGATTGTAGGGGCGACATCATAGCAGTAACTTGGCTGGGGGTGGAGTGGGGAAGGCAGGGGCAGCTAGTTGCCAAGTACTCCAGATAAGTTTGTGGAATCACTGCTACTTTACACATGCAAGCTGTATGCTGCTGAATTTGGAATGAATTGCTGCTGAACTGGAAAGATTAAATGGGATCATTTGGAGTTGTGAATTTCCTGCTTAATATGTTAGTGTTCCTTCTCAGTGGTTGGGCTGAGAGAAAAGCTCTCAAAGGAAAAACTACCCATCGATCCAGTTTTCAAAAGTAACATGAATATGCTTTTTTTAAATTTCTTTGCTAAGAGAGAAGCACTTGCAGCAGTGGCAGATGTGGAGGTTTTTTTATACTTTCGTTGTTATTTAGACGTGAAAAACCGCTAGACCAAAGATGGACAACTTTCCACCTTTTCTTTTGTAAATAGGTGGCAATAGAGTAAAAATGACTGGGTATGCTTTCGGATGAATAAGCATAAATCTCTGGGGGTTTTCTGAAGTGTTTTCCTATAAGTAAAAGTTTCGCTTTTGTTCAACACTTCAGCAAAACCTTTTCTGTTTGTATAACTGTATTGAACCATATCATAGACTTAGAAAGTGTGCACTTTACTTTTCTGCCTTCTTTATTGTAAGTACAAAATTCTTTATATAGTTCTTGATATGTTTTTAATAGGGTTTGCGAGGGCAAGGGGGAGGGCAAAATCTAAGTATTTCAGATGGAAATGGAGGAAAGAATGCATTCTCCATACAGCAAAGAGTTTATTATGGCATGTTTAAAAACATCTTTACTAGAATGACACTATTTTGATCCTAAGTTTAGGATATTTCTTTACCAATTCAGATATGTAATGCTTTATATCAAGTACTCTGTGATCTGACAGTGTAGGCATGTCGCTTCAACAAGATACCTAAAAAAAAGACTGACTTAATGCACATTCAGTAATTGGGCAGAAACATTCAACAATCCTACTTTGAAATTCTGATTTGCATGCATCTAGTGATCAGTTAGGTGGATAAATGTGTATCAGTGCTGAAATGAAGGCAGTACTTTTTATTGAATGGACTTCTGAGCTTTGCAAGAGTGAAACAAAAATGTTTGTCCACATTTTTTGAATGACTGAAAGAACTGTGTTTTTTCCAACTCTCCTAATATTGTGTTCCATTGCATAGGTCATTCCTCCCTATTTAATCCCAGAACTTTGAAGTTTACTGTTTCTGATGTTTTGGTTTGTCGAGCATTTCAAGTTTTGGTAGGTCAAGTCTGAGAAGTCCACTTCCCAAGGCTCTTATTCTAGGACAGAATACATGCCACTCCTGTCTCAGATTAAAGGACTAACTCATTTCTGTAATCAAAATTCTGTGTACTCCTTTATTCATATGAAGGTCTAGAAATTAATTTTTCTTTCTAGTATGTACTGCTAGGCTTCTGAGGAGAAACTCCCCTTCAAAAAGAGCCTGCCTAGAACTGTGAGTACCCCTGAAATATATTGGAATATTTATACCTTTTGTAACACTTCTATGTTTAGATTACCAGCCTATCTACTCAACAGCAACTGAACTCTAATCACCAGCTGGCAGAACAGTGTATGTACCTTCAGCACCAATTGAAGAAGCCCTAGCACTGTAACTAACGGTTTCCAAAGAGGATGCTGCTTGAATGTAGTCAGTGAATACCCCAAGTGGCGTTCTCCTTTCTACCATTGACTAAGAGAAAGCTTTCTATGAATTGCTTAAATTTTAATCCCTCATCAGCTAGAGCAGCACTAAACTGTTTTACCAGACTAGTGAACAATGCAG